TGAATGCAAAACAAGGCAAAAAAAAAAAAGATCTGGCCCCAGCCCAACTATTCAGACTCAAGGGTATGAGTCATTTCGAAGTTTTCTTGGCTTCCTGATTAGCTGAGATGTTTAATTCGTGCGCGTGTGCAATACTAGGTGAGTTGCTTGAAATACTGTCCTCACCTCTTCCCCCCCCCCCCCCCGCCAGCACTGGTCTCACCATCACTGCACTTTCCAAAAAACATAGCTGCACACAGCACCCACACTGTGGCTTTGTATAAGCATAGGAGGATCACATCTTCCATTTTATTTCTAACACTAGAAGTTGTATCATAATGCTTAGCAGGAGATATAACTATACCAAATTACACTGATTTTTTATTTAATTAAGCATACATGGAGTTTTATGCATAAATACATATTGTACATAAAACTGCCATGGCTCAAATCCCTCTTGAATGCCTCTGAGGAGGGCTGTTGTAAAGGCATTTATTTGAGAAGTCAAAACAGGCAACAGTTTCTCTGCTCACATACACGCCTTAATTCTGACTGCTTTGAAAGATATAAAAGTTAAAATATTTTTCTAAACTCTCATGAGACAGCAAATATGGAAGTGGGGATATAGTTTTTTAAAAAATTGATATGGGGTCTTGCTACATTGCTGAGGCTGAGAATTGAACAGTTTTTGTGATGCTGGAAAAAAAACTAGAATTATTAAAATGGTGACATCATTAGCTTGTGTGAGATCTCTTTCCTAAACTAAATCTACTCTAAAGAATAAGGATTTGCTACCATGAAAGATATTTCTTGAAGAGAAGAGACCACACTAGGCTTTAAAGAGGTAATCTGGATGATACAGGTTAAAAACCTCCCTCCATAAGATCTCTGAAACTACAAACTCTTCTGGAGTTGTGAAGTTTTGTCCTTGTTTTTAAAGATTATTGTGTGAAAACAGCACACAATTATAAATACATCATGATTATAAGTATATGAAAAATATCAACACATATGAATAAAGACATATGAATAATACAATAAAAATGAAAAATAATTCTGTGGTAAATGATTTTTCAAAAATTTATCTTAAGTTACTGTTATGTTGCTATTACAATACAAAGACACAGCATTCATGTTAGTTGATACCATTCTACTATACAATGTTCCAAAGTATTAATAGTCTTCAACTTCCGCATCCCCTTCTAGGTCAAAAGCCTTGACCCTGATCCTGTCTTCACATAAGATGAATGGCATTTCCCCAGCGGACATCACCAAACATCTGCCCACAAAGGCTCAGCTGACTTTTTGCTACCCACTCACAGTTTTGTAGGAGTTTCTTGCCTTTTCTCTCTCAACTTGGTATCTCACCAAACAAAAAGGCAGAGTGTGGGAAGATTTGCAAAAATCCGAACTTCAACTAATCTTAGCCCTAATCTCTGGGCGGGCAATCCAGTTGTTTGAGCTTCTCTATACAGCATTTGTTTCTTAAAATATTGAGAGCTTTTCTCAAATATATGATGAATCAGAGCTCTTTCTTTAAAAAACTCATGGTAAGGGATTGGCAGTAGTAGGAAACTGCCGGGCTGGGGGGAGGCGGGATTGACAATAGTGGAAAACTGCCAGGAGGGGGTGGGGCACACCTCATCAACAAGGGTACTTGCATAATGAACATTTGTATACCCAATGTGGAATTGTACTCCACATATTTAAAATAAAAAATACCAAACTCATGGTGCAGGTGATACAATAATAATAATAATAACAACAACAACAGTAACAATAACAAGCTTTACTGAGTGCTTGACATAGGCAGCATTGTGCTAAATTCATTTCTGAGGCACTGAACATCTCTAGTCAAAAACATCCACATGGCACCCTTTGAAAATCATAGAAATTTTAAAATCATAATGAGACTGGGCACAGTGGCTCATGCCTGTAATCCCAGCACTTTGGGAGGCTGAGGTGGCAGATTGCTTGAGCTCAGAAGTTCAAGACCTGCCTGGACAACATAGCAAAACCTTGTCTTTAAAAAAAAAAAAAACAATTAGACGGGTGTGGTGGTGTACAACTGTAGTCTCAGCTACTTGGGACGATGAGGGGGGAGGGGAAGGATCACCTTGGCCCTCAGAGGAGGCTGAGGTGAGCCATGATTGTCATGGTCATGCCACTGCATTCTAACCTGGGTGAGAGAGACCCCCAACTCAAAAAAAAAAAAGAAAAAGGAAAATCATAATAATTTAACTTTCTAAAGTTCTTTTATACAAAAAGCCTCATTCAAGCCTCTGAACATGCCTGTGAAGAATGAAAGTAACAAAGACTCCAAGATGCTGACAGAGGGAATAACTTGCACAGGGCCTCTGGGCGAGGGACAGAGCCAGAGAGAGCTAGAACCCAGGACAGCCAACCAGATCCACGATCTTTTCTCTGCTACAAGCCACCTTGGAGTCTAAATAAACCAATTACAAAGTTATTGCCAGTGGTTTCCTAGGCACTGGGATAGAAGAAGAGGTTAAAAAAAAAATCAATGGAATTTGAAAAAATCTGCCCCTTCCATCCCTGTCACACGCACATCTACCCTTTGACATTGCGAGGATTCTAATATGTAGACTATTAGATGACAAAAGTGGCAAACTAGAAAAAAATCACAGGTCTGTCGTCACAAAGACCTGGGATTGAATCAGCTTCACCACTTACTCACTAAGAGACCTTGAGCAGGTTGTCTCCTCGTGTGTAAAAATGACAGATACCTCGGGTAGGTCAAGTACTTAGCACATAGCAGCTGTGCAAAAACTGTTAGTTTCCTTATATCACCAGCAATTATAGAACTTGCAGGGGCTCCAGGGTCACATAACAAATATCTGCACTCTAAAAGTTTGCCCCTTTGGAATGTCACAGGCTCAAAGGGCATTTGCTTAAGGGAAAAATACTTTTTCCTACAAGTAGCACTTGTCCTGAGCAACTTGCATTAACTAGGGAGTAAATGTACCAGCATCCTCCTAGAAAAAACAATAGCATTATCCATAATAGGCGAAAGTTAAAAACAACCCAATGTCCACTGACAGATGCACGGATAAACAAACTGTAGCATACACATACAATGAGATATTACTTAGCCTAAAAGTAAATGAAGTTCTGACACATGCAAAAAGATGCCTGAATCTTGAAAACATGCTAAATGAAATAAGTCAAACATCAAAGGACAAATACCAGATGATTCCACGTATAGTAACTACCTACACCAGTCAAATTATGCATAGAGTCAGAAATTAGGATACAGGTTACCAGGGGTTGGGGGCATGAGGGAATGTGGAGTTACTGTTAATGGGTATAGATTGTTTGGGATGATGAAAAAGTTCTGGAAACAGAGAGTGGTTATGCTTACCCAGCACTGCAAATGTCCTTAATGCCACTGAACTGTATACTTAAAAACGGCTGAGCCAGGCTCGGTGGCTCAGCCTGTAATCCCGTGCTTTGGGACGCTGAGGTAAGTGGATTGCCTGAGCTCGCGGGTTCAAGACCCGCCTGCGCAACTTGGCGAGACCTCGTCTCTACAATAAATCAAAAAATCAGCCGCTTATGGTAGCACGTGACTGTAGTTCCAGCTACTGGAAGACTGAGGCAGAAGGATCGCCAGAGCCCAGCAGGTCGAGGCTGCAGTGGCCAGAAGCGGCCGCTGCACTCCAGTCTAGGCGACAGGGTGAGACTCCAACTCAAAATAAATAAATAAATAAATAAAAATGGTTGAAGTGGTAAATGTTATGTTACATTTATTTTCCCACGACTAAAAAAAAATAGCAAAGGTACTTAGCCCATCCACATGGGCCTTGTACTATGCTTCCTGAGGTCTGAGCCTCACTTCCTCACTACCCTCTCCTGGCTCTGATCTCAGCCTGGCCTGGCTCATTTTCCTTTTATTAACACATCCCCCTCTGCTGTGGGCTTTCCTGAGCCCATGGCATCTAGCCCTTTCTAAGGGCCACTCACCGGGCCGGAGGTTCACAGCAATCTCCTGTGGCGTCATCTGAATGACATCCGAGTCCGCTAAGCTGGAGCCCTTGCTGCTGAGAGGCAGGCTCCGCAGAATGTGGGTGCTGCTGGCTGGGCTCTCGATCTCATCTCCACAGCCATTTCTGACGAGGTTTGCTCTCAAGTCACACCGAGAGGTGACTGCCCGGGGGCTGCCGAAGTCCTAGGGAGAGAGCAGAAGTCTGTCACAGAGTGTCTCCCCAGAACTTGGCAGGTAGTAAGCCCATCACCATCTGGTCGACCTGAAACTCTCTACATTCCATTTCCATGGCCTGAAAAGAAGGGAAATGATAACACCTATCCCAAATGCCTCATCAACAATCAGAAGAAGGGAGGTGCTGGATAGGAAAGCATTTTTACAAACTGTAAACACAGAATAAAAATGTTTGATTTCATGTTATTTTAATGGTTAAGATGCTCCTAAACTGCCTATATGATTAGTAGGAGAAACAAATTGAAATGGTCAAAAGTTGTACAGCTAAAAGTTTTTTTTAAAAAGATGATATTTCGCCGGGCTCGGTGTCTCAGTCTGTAATCCCCCGCTTTGGGAGGCTGAGGTGAGTGAACTGCCTGAACCCGCGGGTTCGAGACCCGCCTGGGAAACTCGGAGAGACCTCATCTCTACAATAAATCAAAAAAAATGAGCCAGGCGAGGTAGCACACGCCTGTAGTTCCAGCTCCTCGGAAGACTAGGCGGAAGGATCGCCGGAGCCCAGCAGGTCGAGGCTGTGGTGGCCGGGAGCGGTCACTGCACTCCAGTCTGGGTGACGGAGTGAGACTCCAACTCAAAAAAGAAAAGATGATATTTAAGTAGCTGAGAAGTCCTCACTTGGGCATTAAAGAGTTAACTTTTGAGATATTCACTCATCCTTTTTTGCAGGCATTGGACAATGAATGACCATACAAGGGAACAATGTCGCAGCATATGTCACATTCATTGACCCAGCAGTCTGCTCTGTTGTCATCAGAAGAAAGAGGAAACGCGATACCACATATATTATGGTACTATTTCTAATATAACCTTATAAACTTGTAAACCGAAATCCCTAAACCATAAGAAGAATATGGTACATTACTTAATAGATGATAGAGTCATTACAAATAGTTATGGATATTAAGCAGAAATTTTAAAACATGTATATTAAGAAAAAATAGAATTATATCTATATTAGGATTCTAAAGAAAAACAAAACAAAAAGTGAGGTGTTACAGTAGAAGGAATAAAATATTTTTGTTTTCATCTTATTGGTGTTTGTGTGATAAAGACACATGGATAAGAAAAATATTTATTTCCTTAAGTTGGATTTGGGAGAAATTTGGGTGTCAGAACGAACCAACCTCCTTTGGGGAGCTAGCAGGTTGAAGTATTAATTTTTTTTTTTTTTTTTTTTT